AGCAACCGCGCAGTGGCTCCTTCAAATTGGACGGGCTCCGCTGCAATTGCTCTCAGCCAATGCGCCAACTGCGTCTCCATGTTCCGGCTAACCTTGCTGCTGCTGCTGCTGCTGCCGCTGCAGCTTAACACCACACGTGCGCTTGCATTTCCAGAACACGCGGGTCAGCAGAGACACTCCTGCGGCCAAGAAGCTGGAAAATATGTGTTATGGACTTTGCGCTCCTCCTAGAACCTTAAGGCAGGGGAATGGGATCCAACTCTGCAGTGTAAACCGCATTGTTATGGCATTCGTGAACAGAATCGATAAAGTGCTTGTGGGATGTGTGCAAGGAAAATGATGTAGAAGGCGCGGCCGATGGCAAAGGATTTGTGCACCGCCCCACTCCAGCTGATCACTTTTTCAAAGCGTGTATGCACATGAGCAGCATCTATTCCGTCACAACACGGTAGTTTCCCAAAATTAGGGTACCCCAATATAGACCCCAATATACTATAGTCCTTATTATAGGGACCCCCAAAGAGGTACCCCTAATTTTGGGAAACTCCCACACTTTGCAAAAAAAATGTTGAAAGAGCTTGCCCTGAACCACGTGCGTTGCACTTCTATCCCTCGTTGACACGCACCTGCCCGCTCCTAGCTCCTTTCCAACTCCATTCATGTCACCCAGCGTCCTGGCAAACAGAACGACGTCGAGCTGCAATCTTGTCCTGAGCCTAGGATCCCAGCAATACTCTCACCATCTTCATCCTTGGTAATATCCATGAAGTAAGAATATCATCGCTGCCCTATTCTCACAATGAAAGCTCTCCTGTACGTTTAATTAAGACTTGCATCCGGCGTGGCATGAAGCGCAATAGACGGATCTGCAAGGTGTGCATATCAGCAAATGCAAGAAGTTCAACGCGGTAAGTGTGAGGGATACTTGTGCACAGACTGGTGATAAGTCGAGCGCTTGACGCACGGCTCATTCTCTTGCCGGCTTCGCGGAGCTGCTTCCAAAGCAAATCAGCATCGCCTGCAGTGGCGATGACAAGCTACAGGGCATTTGTGCATAGGCTTCTAGGGCTACTTGCTGGTATCAAAATTCTGCGACCCTCTGGCGCTGTCCACTGCAACCCCCAAGCATGCATTAAACGAAAGGCAACCCAATGTGCGTGGTAACGCTTTCAAGGTCCCCGCTCATGGACTGGTCCGTCCTTCTGCAGAAGCAGCTATGCTTCTGCGCTACCATTCCTGGCACGACGACAAATGTAGGCATTCAAGATGAGCGCATGTTTTGAGCACAGCTGACCGTGAGGCTTTGCTCTTTCTGGCGAAGAACGCAGGCGGAGAAATGCAAATTCCTCTATGCTTGTGGGGCTGCACGTTGGCAGCATCATGCCACGAATTCTTGGAAGATGTTCGCTCCTTCAGTTTGAAGGGCTCCGCTAGTACTCCGTGCTCTCGATTAATCAAACTTTAAGCAAATGTTTTGGCCTGATGAGGGGACAAAGATTGCTCTAAAAGCAAACATTTTTTGGGACAAAAAACCCTAGAAGTACAGCAAATCATTTTCACACCCTGAGAATAGCCAGTGGTTTGGCTTTAAGTCCAGGTTTAAGGCACAGTTTCAGATCTTGAGATTTTTTTCAGCAAAATCTCACAATTTGGAACCTCAAATCCCAAACAAGGAAGGTGGCTGCTCCTTAGCTGAGACTAGGAAAGCTGGTTCAGGCTCAAGCATTGCTTCCTGAACTGCCGCTTGCGGACCTTGCGTCAGTGGATCTTTCTTTACAAAAATGGAAAACCTCAATGGGATATGGCAGTTTCTTTCGGGCTAGGAACCTCTTAAAGATACAGGAGAAACCAAACTGATTTGAGAGAAGTGAGAACTCCAGTTCCTTGCTGGTGTTTCTTTCGATCCTCATAGAAATTAAGCATGCATAATTAGAGTTTGACCTCGCGTATGCAATGGAAACACATCGAATAGAATGAGAATGGAATGTGGCTCTCTCGCGAGCCCAGCACGAAAACAGAAGAGAAAATGCACTGAGTTGAAACAAGTCAAATCTCCAGTTTCCTGTTTGATTGCGAAATGATGCTTTGCTTTGTCGAAGCAGGGATCTTCCGCAGTATCCTTTCTGTTCACGGCAATAAAGGAGGAACTCCTTAAGCGAGTGCTGCTTGCAGAAAGCGTATTCATTCACAGTATTCAGAATCCGCAGACAAAATGACCTCTTAATCCAGGGTTTCTCTCTAGTATAACAAAATGCGCGCTTCAAAGGCTTTTTCTTAAATAAGCTAGACTGCTTTAAACAGGCCATGAGGCTTTAGCAATTCTGAACAAACAATTGAAACCAAGGGCCAATTCCATTTCCCATTTGGATCAACTACTGTAGAAGACTGTAACTAATAACCAGGATAAACTACTGTAGAAGACTGCAACTAATATCACCAGGAGGAAATCCTGGATTGAGAGAAAAGCATCTTCATCTAAATCATAGAAAAGAGCTTATGCTTTCGGATTCTTTGAAGAACAGAAGTGGAAACCAATGGCCAGTGCTACTGTTCACTCGGTGTAACGGTATTGAAACAAGTTTGAACGAGTGGGTCAGGTGGAAAATCCTGGTTGGCGAGCATGTTTTTCTTTATACCGGATTTCAGCCCAACTACATGTCTCTGACTTGTTTGAGCAAGCTGAAAAACAGGACGGGCACCTACAACCTTTGTTGAGGTTCTGTTTACATGGTGCTTGAATACTCCAATCTGGTTGAAACCGGTAAAGGCAAAAACTACCTGACAATTGAAATACGTAGATTAGTTCAACGAACCGAACAAGCTTGAATAACTTAACCAGGGTAGGTGATCACCATGCCCAAACCATAATGGCATTCACGTTCCCGGAGCATACGCTGACCAAAGCATCCATGCCCAAACCACAATAACGTTCGTGTTCCCAGAGCATACGCTGACCAAAGCATCCATGTCTAAACCATAATAACGTTCGTGTTCCAAGGGATATGCTGACCAAAGCATCCATGCCTCAACCATGCCGCCATGCATGGCATCCATGGCTGTAGTCAGACGGGCCCGCAACACATGGCCATTCTTTGAACTGTCAAAATTCTCGAAATCACAAATACTTTGCCGCCCAAATTCCCAACCTGAAAATTACTGCTTCTACATGTAAATCCATGCGAACACCAGAAAACCCTGTAAAATACAGCATTCCGTCGCCCTCAGTAAAAACCACCGCCCACAACGAAC